GGAGGATTGGCATTGGATGTTAGCTCAGGGCTGATCTTCCTCACAAAAAAAAAAATGAAAATGATTTTTGCCAAGTACTTAATACATGCTGGAAAAAAAAAAAAAAAAAAAAAGAGGAGGATTGGCAGACGTTAACACAGGGCTGATCTTCCTCACAGAAAAAACAACAACAAAAAAAGAAGCAGGTATCTGTGGCCGGCAAGGACGTCAGGACAGTGCTGGGAAGCTGTGCCATATTAGACGACCAGGAGTCAGAAATTTAGAGCACCCTTAACCACAGATTGACCACTAATGGACTGTGTGAGCTTTGGCCTCAGTTTCTCACTATGAGGGATAAGGAGGTTGGACCCAATAATCTCTGAAGACATTTCGAGGTCTGACACTTGGCACTATTTTGATGTCTTCTGCAGCCATCTGCTAGGACTGGGTGCTCTCCTGTAACACATGAATTCCTGAGAACATGGACTAACGGGTTCAAGGACTATTAGATAAAGAATGAGCTTAAACATGTTAGAAGAATTGGTGCTTCTCTGATGGAATTTGCCAGTGTTCCCAGCTGCATTACTGGTCGATCTTATTTTACTACAGGGAACTGCTCCATAAATTGTCAGAGTGATGAATTTTAAACAGTGCTACTCAAAGTGGGCGGGGCATGAACTGTTTCTTACTAGTCAACGGCACAACGAGTACAGAAATGGAGAGTAAGCATTCAGAAACTTTTAGAGAACTCTGACACTGCTTTACCATTCTGTGATATTTCATTTTATATCAATTCATTTTTGCTGTATATTACAAAGGGATTGCAACTTACAGGAAAAAAACAAAACTGGCCCTTTACCATACATTGAGAAGTAATAATTTAAATATTGTTTTTATTGTCTTTACCCATTAAGAAAGAAAAAGAGAAAGAAAAAGAGAGAGAGAGCACAGCCTGAGTGAGAATTAAGTTCAGCTCTTTATTAAAAATCACCCAGATAATGTCAATCTAACTTTCACTGCTTCTATTACAGGTGCCTGTCTTCCTTCCATCTTTGCTTTACTCATTTCTTCCTACCTCCCTTTTTTTAAAGTCACAAAGCAAATATTTCTCTGCAAACTTCCACAGGTTTCTCTCTGCACACAGGAGAGCTGACTCAGCCAGAAAGCTGTCACCCCCGGCCCTGTCAGGCTCACCCAGGGCACACGACTTTCCCAGACAGCAAACAAACAGGCCCTGGCGTGAGTGGTCACAGTGCTGGCACATGGCCGCTCACAGACATTCTGGGCATGCTGTCCCATGACTTAGAGAAGAGGGGGCTGTTGGAGCCTGCCAGCTCTGTCTGCTAATTGTGAGGTATCTGGGACCTGGGGCCCCGCGGCCCCTCAGCACCAGCACCAGCAGAGGCCAGCTGCCCTTGGTCCTGACCCAATCATACTCAGCAGTTTTCTCCCAAGGCTTTAGTAAAGCCACTCTGCCTGTCGCCGGGGTCCTTTAACTCTGCCTCTTATTGTTCCTTGGACTTAAAAATACCTCCCTTCAGTGGGAGCTTTGGAGTCAATAGACCTGGATTCGAATCCAAGCTTTCCATTTATTAGCTGAGTGATTTTAGGTAAATCCCATCATCATTCTGAATCCAGCATTTCCTGCAGCAAAATAGGGCTAAGGGGACCCACCTTTCTTATGCAGCACTTGGTAGGTGCTGCATAAACATTTGCTGCATGAATGAATGAATGAATAATGAACAAATGGGTGAATGACTTTCAGCTGTTTGTGGCCCTTGACCTTGGCCCCTGGCCACTCTACCTGGGCACACAGGTAACTCCTGCGAATCTAGTTCAGTAGAGCACACACTGCATTAATCTCAGAAGCCTTGCATTTGTGACTTAGCTGAATGACTTTTCTGACCAGTGACCTTAGCTGAGTCATTTCACTCTCCAAGGTCCTCTATTTCCCCATCGGTCAAATGCATATGCTGATCCCTGTCTTGTCTTCCTTGCCAAATTCTGTCAAAGCCCAAATGAGAGCATAGATTAAAGTGCACTGTGACCTGGAAGGAACTGGCCACACACCAAGGCTTCTTCCCACATGGGCTGCTCATGCCTGTGAGCCAAGGTGAGAGTCCAGGGGCCCGCCTGGTGCCAGGAGGCTGGGCTGACGTGCTTTCTGGCTTGCTGCCAGCCATGACATTCTCCAGCCAGCATCATCATTCCTTTGCACATAGGTATTTTGTCTGTGCATGGGAGGCCCTTGGTCTTTTGAGAGACATAAAGAGAAGAGTCAGCAGAAAACCTGCTGAGGTCGGCAAATGTTCTGGAGCTATCAGCAAGTCCACGGTCCCGGGTGTTGGACAGAATGGAAAAGTTCAGCGCGAATCTGGGAGATCAGGAAAGTGGAGGTTGACTGTTTCTCTGGGTTGGAACTTCTAGGTCCCACATTCAATATAGATCACCCATGGGCTCACCTTTGGGTTTTTCTTTGGTGTTGCTGGTTAGAGTTGATAGTGCAAGGCAGAGGCTAAGGGAGGATTAGACAGAAGACCCCTCTTTCTGCCCTCTTCTCAGCAGTATATGAAGAAGTTCTTCTGCCTTGTGTGTCCTCCTTTCTCCCCTAACCCAATTTTTTTTCTTTTTTTTTGAGGAAGATCAGCCCTGAGCTAACATCTGATGCCAATCCTCCACTTTTTTTTGCTGAGGAATATTGGCCCTGGGCTAACATCCATGCCCATCTTCCTCTACTTTATATGGGACACCATCACAGCATGGCTTGACAAGTGGCGCGTCGGTGCTCAGCTGGGATCCAAACCTGTGAACCCCGGGCCGCCAAAGCAGAGCACGCGCACTTAACCGCTTGTGCCACCGGGCTGGCCCCCAACCCAATTTCTGATGTCCACATTGTACCTAAGCCTTCTCTAAGACAGTCAAGCTGCAAATCACTTTTTTCTCTTGGATCTCCTATGACACTCCCTAAACACAGCACATGCTCGTTATACAAGTAATGACAAAGACACTTATTGAGAGTCAGCTAGCTGCTAGCCACTCTAAGAGAGACTGTGCTTTCTATGCCCTCTCTCAATCCTCAGAGCAGCTCGACAAAGTAGGTACCCTTATTATTGCCATTTTACAGATGAGGAAATAGCTTCTAAGAGGCCATAAAGTGAAAAAGCAGTATTACTTAGATCTGAACCCAGGCTGTCTGACCCCAGCTTATCCCTGCGTCACCAGTACTGTCCAATAGAACATTCTGCTGCGATGGAAGTGTTCCACACTGCTCTCTCCAATATGGTAGCCACTAGCCCCATGTAGCCACTGAGTACTTGAAATGTCGCTAGTGTGACTTAGGAACTGGATTTTAAATTTTATTTCACCTTAACTAATTTAAATTTACATAGTCACATGTGGCTAGGGACCACCACATTGGATAGGACAGTGCTACCCTACTCTACCACATATATTAGGACACCTCTTTGCACTCAGCTCAGGTCACCCAATTGAGACTCTGAGCTCTTTGAGAAGACAGGAGTCTGAGTTTTCCTTCTTAGCCTACAGTAGGCACTCAATAAATATTTTTGTGCTGGACTATACTTGCATATAGTCCTGATGGTTACTTGAGTAATAGACTGGCCTCCTCACAAGGCTGCCGTGTGAACTGGAAAATTCCCATAACTCCTATGGGCCTCAGGTGCCTTGGCTATAAAATAGGGAACACGTTCAGCTCTCAGCTGGGCATCGTCTGCCCAGCAGGTCTTACCTGTATGGAGAGTCGGGATCGAAGCACGTCTTGGTGACATCGGTGATTTCGGGGTCACAGCACTCTCCGCCATCGAAGTTGAACCGTTCATAGTTGCAGTCCATGTCGCACACCCCGTTCTGCTGCTTCTTCACGAAGGCAGGGTGGCGCAGGTGGCGGCAGTCCCCACCATCGTGGCCGGTCAGCGTGTGGTTGCATTCGGGGTCACAGTTCTCGTCCCCGATCTTGCTGATGTCACAGTTGGCCAGGATGAGGCGGTGGCGCAGGGAGGAGTTGCTCACCTCCAGCACCTCCAGCTCCCAGGAGATGTTGTAGTGCTTGAAGGCCTCAGCCAGCTGCCGGTGCTGGAAGTCGATCTGCTGGCGGCTCACCGTGGGGTTCTCACGGCCGTCGTCGTGGAGGTTGACCACACGGTAGCGCACCACTTTGGGCTGGCGGAAACGCGGGAGCTGGTTGTAGCTGGCGATGACCTCTGTGTTGTCACACAATGTCTGCCCGCACAGAGGAGGCTCCAGACTTGTGTCTAGCAGAAAGCCATGGGTACCACTGAATTCCACTTGGGGGCTGTTGCCGTCCTTCATGGGGGACCAAGCACGCTTTACATTGTCCCAGTTCTCCTGGAGGAGGAGCTGAGGTAGAGGAGCGTGGAGGCCAAGGGTTTCCATGTCCAACAGTACCTCCCGCTGAGTCCTGGCCACCTTCCACAGACTGAGGCGCTCAATATAGCCCCGGTAGTTGTGATTCAGAGCACTGCCTCCCAACATGAGCACTTTACACTTCTGGGTCAATGGGCTGAATATGCTGCCGACCTGCTCCCCAGAGGTTGCCACCTGGGCACCGTTCACATAGAGCTTCATCAGCCGCCCATCGTAGGTAGCAGCTAGGTGTACCCACTGGCCTGGGAGGTAGCTGCGGTGGGCATTGATGGTGGTCACTTGCCGGGCCCGGTCTGTCTTCAAGGAGAAGAAGTAGCGCGGGTCTCTGTTGCCTTGGTCACTGATGGTGTGAATGCCCACGACCCATCCTCGGTCACGTGAGGTATAAGAACATTTGTCATATAGCCCTATGTGGTCCCAAAAGAGAAAGATGAATAAACAAAGGATGCAAGAAGGGGGGGTAAGTTATTTCTCGCTGATAAAATTTATATCAGGATGTCCTAGACCGCTAGTTTGCAAACTGTGCTCTGTGGGGTTCTGGTGCCTCTGGGACCACCCAGGGGCAAGGTGAGGGCTAGAGGAACTGACAGGACAGGTGAATTGGCTTTGGGGGGTTTGACTTATTGGTTTTGAATATGGAACATAGAAGAAAGACTTTTCTTTGAAGAATGTGTCCTTGAGTTAAAGAAAACAATGACAATAACAGCAATAATAATAATGAAAATCTGAAAACCTCTGATTTTGCAAAGCTGTTGGATGAGGAAGAAGATTTTCTAATTAAGAGAGTATTTTAAGTGTTGGATGATATAAGAAGTGAGAAGAGAATCAGAGGGAGATAATAACCAATGGAAGATGCTCATTTAGAAGGACAGCCCCTATTCGGTCACCATAACTTTGAGTGTATATCAGCCATTAGCAGTCATCAAATGATCACTGGTGGTGAATTGTTGGGAAAGTTGGCCTGGAGAAGTGAGGGTCAAGGACTGCAAAGCTAGTGCTTCTATCTCCAACCGGGGTCCTGGCAAGCACTGGCATTCATCCCCAAAGAAAGGCAGACATGCTGAATCTCTGAGCTGGAATCTCTGGGCCTTAGAATTTGTGTAAATCTCTCTGTTTTAAAGATTGCCACTTCCAGCTCCTTCACTTGACAGGCAAGGGAGTTGAGACCCAGTGGACGGAAGGCATTTGTCAGGTTACACAGAGTCATTGACAAATCTCCTAAGACCCAATTCAGCATGCTTTTCTCTAGCACTAAGGCTAGTATTAAAAAAATAAAGAAATAAAAGCATCCTCCTAACATAAAAAGATGTTGGGGACTCCTCCATTAAGTAAAGTCTTCCAAGTCTATATGGTAGGTCAGGCACTGTGCTAAGGTCTGTGTGCGCATGAATTCATTTAATCTATGTAACACCCCCCAACAGAGGAGGAAATGGAAATTAAAGGAGATAAAGAGATGGATGGGTTCAAGGTCAACTGGTTGGTAAGTGGATCCTAGATCCACGAGACTCTGGGATTCACTGTCCTACGCACTAGCTCTTCAGTACCTCCCTCTCCCTCATCAATGCCACCAGGGATCTGGATCATACCATCTGGTGTCACAAGTTTTAGTTGGGTGTTTGGGAAAGATCTAAGCCAGACACCTCTAGACTTACTCTGGGAACCCCAGGAAGTCGCTTAGCAGATTCTCTCTGGATCTAATTATCTTAAAACTCACCAACCCCCGTTCCCCAGCCTTTCTGGAATATACCCAGTGTCCTTGGCACAGACAAAGCTGTTGGATGGGGAAGAGGACTTTCTAATTAAGAGAGTATTTTAAGTGTTGGATGATGTATGATGCCAGGTGGGAGGAGAAAGAGGGATACAAGAATGAATAGAAGATGCTCATTTAGGACAGTCCCTACTTTCAGCTGGAGAATTGTTGCGGTCACCATAACTTTGAGCATGCATCTGCCATTAGCGTTCATCAAATGAGCATGGAGAGCTTCCAGAAAAATCAATAGGGTAGGCTCATACAGTCTTTACTCCTTTGTGGGGACTGGGGCCTTAGAATTTGTGTAAATCTCTCTGTTAGCAGCTGACATGGATGGCAGTTTTGGCCGAACATCTAAGTGCACCTAAATCTCTCCTCTGGCTCGCTGTCCAACAGTCGTAATGGCCAGAGTCTCCTCACAAAGTCAACCTGCTCTCACAGGCTGGGCAACCTTGCTGAAGCACCAAGTACCTCCTCTGGGTCTTGGTTCTCTGCCTGGTAAAGGAGGGGATTGACTGAGGTTCCTCTTCACATGCTCATTCCAAGTTTGTTTTCCTCTGATTCTAGGTTTCCCAATGGCTAAAACAGAAACTACCTCTTTTAAGAAGCTCTCCCTGATAGCTCTGTGAGGAATGACTCTTCTCTCCTCTGAGCTCATTTTACTTTTACGAAACTGGACATTTGCTCTCTGGTTTTGGAGTCCCTCCTAGACTGGAAGCTTCTAGAGAGTGATGACTCTGCCTGGGCCATCTGTACCCTGCCGAGCACCTTACACTAGGTAAGTGTCTCATGAGTAAGCACAGGAGTGATTCTAAATAGACTGAGAGAAGAGAAAAAGATAGCAGAATCAAAGGCACTGATTTACATCTCCATGGCTAAAGGACAGAGAGAATCAGAAGACAGAGTGTGTTCTTGGTAGGGTAGAAAGATCAGGGTCTTTGGACTCAGGGTAATTCTGATGACAGCAATTACTAGCTGTACATCTGAGGCAAATCACAACACCTCTGTGGATCTAAATTCCATCTGTATCTCTCTTTAAGTATAAAACACAGCAGACAGATATACTCTCCTTGGCATACAGTGGCTGTCCAAATGAGAGTTCATTTTTAAGATGCTGGAGAGTCTGGGAGTGATGTCAAGGATGAAGAGTAAGAACTGACTAGAAACAAAATACAGACAGGCCAGACAGAGAAGGTACCCTGAAAGCATCCTGACCAATGTATCAAGAGCTGGTAGGATGAAGGCTCGAGAAAGCACAAGTCCTCCTCAAACCTACAGGCAAACCCTACTTAGAAATCATAAGTCCCCATTGGCTTAGCGGCTATTAGGAGGCTGCGTGTTAAGAGTTACCTCCCCACTGACCCCACCAAAGCCAAAGCTCTAACTCCAGATTTGGAGTGAGTGGCCCCAGATCTATCTGTTGCTAAGGGAATCAGCAGAAGCAAAGGTTCCTGGAGCCCCCACTCTTGTGTCTCCCACCCCACCTCTCAGCTCACCTTCTCTTCCTCCTCTGGCTAACTCCCTCCCACTTAAACAGAAAATTCTTCTAATGAGAAAATTAACATCGAAACAGGATCCTTTTTCCCTCTCTCTCTTTCTCTCTCTCTCTGCAGGTTTTTATTTTGCCAGGGGCTCTCAGTCTCTGGTTTTCCTGTTGCCTTTGGAAGGCGGCTGGCTGGGTTAGCAAGGTAAAATGTTTATACATCTGTAGGGTGCCCTCAGTTCAGAACCTTCCTGGGGCTTGGGACCCAGGCTCAAGCCACCTCTCTCTGCAATTGAGAGAGAAGAGGGAAGCAGTGAGGAAGGCCAGACTCTGCAACACAGAGCCGAGGACTAAGAGGTGGCTTGGCCCCAGGAGGCAGAGAGGAAGGTCAAAGAGGGTTTTTGGTGGAACCAAGATGAAACACATTAAGGGAAATGAGAACCTTGAAGCAGTGGCTTCAGAAGTTCAGAGGGAAATATTTACCTAGAGCGTAAGTGGCGAAAGGAAATCACTGAACTTCAATAGGGATGGGGGAGGAGGGATGGTGGTGATGGGGATTTATTTCTGCATGAAAATAACTTAATCAACAGTAGTCACATTACAGGGGGCTGGAAGGGAGGCACTGCTGTATCACCAGCCCAGAACCAAGGATCTGGAACCAGAGATCTGGGCTTAGCCTGCCAGATGACCTTCATTGAGACAAGTCACACCACCCCTTATGCTGCCAGGCCTCATTTCCCTTCTATGAAAAAGGAGGGGTTTGGATTAAATGATCCCCCACTACAATTTAAGAGCTCTTTTGTTCACTCTTAGAATGGTCCCTTGTAAGTAGGAGGTGCTCAAAAATACGTGTTGATTTGAATCGGATGCCTCATGTCATTCCCAATTCTTGCATGCTTAGGTCCCTCTTCTCTGTGTATCTCCATACAGGACATGGAGCAGTGCTCTCTGGAGGACCTGGGCGTACCCCTCCTCACCTCCACCCTGTTCCTCCACAAGAAGATTCTCCAGGAAGATAGAGACATAGTGAAAGAAACAGTTAGAGTCTGAAGTCGGCACCATCTGTGTGGTACTCGAGGTTGACCCGGGGGGACACGTCCCCATGTGGGAAGATGGAAGGCTACAGGCAATCCTGCACGCAATCTACATCTAATTAGCTTAAGCCTGCCTCAAGGCTACAGGCACATGGAAACAGACAGCGAACGTGTGGGAGAGCCCATTCACAGGCTGATGAGGTGTCTGGAGCACACCGCACAGATGGAGAGGTTGAGGCGCAGACCAGGAAAGGGCCTCGTGGTAATAATCACCGGTCACTCAAACCCTGGTCAGATGGTCTTTCTAATGTGTCCCGGTCTTCCTGCAGCTAGGCTTGCTCTGCAAAGGGCTTCATATCTCCCCCAGCCCTATCCCTAGAAGCTTGATGTTTATTTTTTTCACTGCTTCTTTTTCATCTCATCTACCCACTGAACCTCACCCCAGAGACGAAGAACATGTATGAAGGAGGCAAGTCCAAAAGCAGAAAGCTTGTAAGGAGTCTCCCAAAACCTTGGCCAGGGCAGTACTGGGAGAATCTTCTAGGTTTAGAGGTCACCCTCTAAGGATCACTTTAATGGCACTACCCCAGGGCAGCTTTGTGTGATCCTTCTGTTCCACCCCAGGTACAGACAAATACCCCTCCCATATATTCATCATACTCCTCCCCGTCTGAAAACTCATCACTCCTGTAATTATTCATCCAATATCTGTGTTTCCTGCGTATGTGTCTGTTTGGTTCATTTCCAAATGTCCAGCATCCAACACAGAACCTGATATCTTGTAGGTGCTCCATAGAGTTGTCATTGTGAGTAAAAAATAGAGGAAGGAAGGGAGGAAGGGACGCTTCCCTATTGCTGTGTTCTTTATAAGAGCATGTCACCTTTTCTTTAGAACTTACTACGCACCATGTGCTCTACATTAATTTTCTCACTGAATCTTCACAACAAAACTATCAGCATTGCCCATTCTTCAGAGAAAACTGAGGCTCAAAGGGATAATGGCTTGTCCAAGGCAACACAGCTTGGAATCCAGGCCTATATTATTCCCAGGCCCGGGTTCTTCATCACGTCACTGCATTAACCACCAAGTGCCAAACACTTTATTGTGGGCTGTTTGAAGGCACCCTCCAAAAATATTTC